GACACGCACACACACACACAGACACACACACAGACACGCACACACACACAGACACGCACACACACAGACACAGACACAGACACACAGAGATTAATGAAACACAGGAGATGTCTCACATTAAACACAGACAGTCCCGCCTCAAACTCACGTCATTGGTTAACTTATCATTTACATTATATTCTCATATTTATAGTTTTATTTTAATTTAAGTTTTAGTAAATGTGTTTTTATTTCTGTTGTTTTTAAATACGTTTATATATGCATATATAAATATCTATATCGTTTTTGATCATTTTATTTCAGTTTCAGGTTGAGTTATTTTAGTACATCAAGTTAAACTAAATGAAAATGAGAAATGCTGCCTTGTCAACAAGCTGAAATAAAATAAGTTTTTTATATTTCATTTTATTTCAGTTAACGCTTATTTTTATTTCAAGTAGCTAAAAGTTTCTTATGGTTTTAGTAATTTTGTTATGCGTTGTTGTCATTTTAGTTTTTGTGTTTTTTTGTCTATATTCTTATTTTCAGCTATTTTTAGTATTAGTTTTATTTTTAGTATTTTAGTGCATCAGGTTAAACAAAATGAAAATGAGAAATAAAATAAGTTTACATTTTTTTATATTTTATTTTATTTTTCAGTTAACGTATTTTATTTGAGATAAACACTTTTTTATGGTTTTAGTCATTTTTTTGCATTTCTGTCAGTTTTATCAGTTTTTTTATAGTTTTTATACATTTTTGTTTCAGTTTTAGTTATTTTAACACATCAAACAAAATAAAAATGAGAAATAAGTTTTTATATTTCATTTCAGTTAACATGTATTTTATAAAAATTAATTTAAAAAAAATGTCATGCTTTCAATAATTTTGTTGTTTTTTACACACACACACACACACATACATACATATATATGTCCATATACTTTCTTTTTCTAGTTTTAGTTATTTTAAATCATTAACATTAAGTTAAATGAAGTGAAAATGAGAAATGTTGCTTTGATATTTAGTTACCAAATAAAATAAGTTTAACTTTTTATATTTTATTTCAGTTAACTTTTCTTTATTTCAAGGAGTGAAAATGTTTTTTTAATTTATTTTTATTATTATTTTAGGTTTGGTAAACAATAACAACCCTGCTATCTAGAATATGAAATCACCTAAATGTCCATTGTTTCCCATCGGTGTGGCTCTCAAAGCGCTGGAGAAACACTCCCATGATCCTCCAGCACATTCGTCACGGATCCGCTCTCGTGTGAAAGAGCCGTTTTTAAAGCTGAGAGAGAAAAAGCAGAACAGTGTGAGTTTATGAATAACCAGCGACGCTCTTCACTTCAACACTTCAGACTCAAACTCCTGTCTTTCCTCTCTTCTGGATGCCGTTATAAATGAGGCCAATCTTCATTTCATCTCAAGTGTTTTAAATGCAAACAGAAGTAATGCAGCACTTAAGCGACTGGCTTTTCTTCAACTCAACTTATGAACGGTTTCACAAGTGCATAACCAAAATCACTCTTTATACAGCCAACCTCGACGGGTAAAGCAGCGCTCTCACGGAAAGAAAACCCCTGAAACAACTCTTAAAACTTCAACAAGGTCAGTCGAGAGTCTCAAAAAGAGCACAATATTTACACTGACTCTCTTTTCTTTCTCAGATGCTAAAGTGAAGAAAGAGACACGAGTGACGGACTGTAAGACGGGGATCTGAGGCGTCAGACACTCAAGTTTAGCCTCAAACCACACAGAAATCACTGAATTATGACACTTAACTTAACAGAATCTTCTAGTTGGCAAAATCTCACAGAGAAATTTCATATTTAACCCCAAAATCTAGACAAAAAAAACATGATATAAAAATCACGGTAAGAAAATATAAAATTTAATTTCAATTAAGTACATAAAGAAATTTAAGCCTCTTTTTAGGACCCTAATTTCCCATTAGTGTAATGAAATCAGATGCTTTACTTACGTTTTTTGTAATTCTCTCTACATTTACATTTAGTCATTTAGCAGACGCTTTTATCCAAAGCGACTTACAATTGGGGGATACATAAAGCGATTCTTCTTAAAGAGGCAAACAGACACAGGAAGTGGTTGTAATACCAAGTTTCTAGACATTGTTCAAATAAGTACAAGCTAGAAAGAGAAGGAATAAATAAAGAGAGAGAATTTTTTTTTATTTTTTATAATGATGATGATGAAGTCAAGTAGCTTCGAAAGAGACTCTAAACTAATATAAATTTTATATTAAATTAGAATAAATCGAAGTTCAACAAACAATTTACAAACATTTAAATAACTTTTTCTTTATATTACCTTTATATTTATCAAATTTTTCTCATTATACATTAATGAAAATTAATACATTCAAAGCACAAGATCAAACACTGAAGTAGCAGATCAATATGTATTAGTTATTATTAGACAATAGACAATTATTAATTATAGTTCAAACCAAAATAAAAAGAAAAATATTCAAGTTTATCCTCAATTTCTTATTACTGTAATGTGTTCAGATTTTTCACGATTTTCATGACTCTATTTGCTCTATTTTCTATTTATTTACTCTATCACGATAAAAAAATGACTATACAATGATTTTTATTTAAATCTGAATAAATTAAATGCAATGCAACAAATACTTTACAATGTTTCCGTTTACATAATAATACAAATTAAAGACAGCATAAGTGTTTTATCTGAACTTATATTTCACATCAAAATAAAAATAAAAATTTAATACAATTTTAATATATATTTTGCGTAAATAAAATGAATTTTTGGACTGTTAAGATGTATTGCCCTCAATTTCTTATTATTGTAATGCATTCAGATTTTTTTTTATTTACTCTATTACAATATAAATTAATATAATTTTTTTTTTATTTAAATCAGAATAAATTAAATGCAATACAACAAATACTTTTCATTAAAGTAAAAACACTTTGGAGGAAAATGAGCACAATGCAAAAAAAGTCTTCATTTTTTTACATTAAAAACAATCTTGATTCTAACTGTACAGACGTGAATTTACTTTACACACTCACTCACACACACACACAACCTCACACTCACACACACTCACACTCTCTCACAGACACTCTCACACACTCACACACACACACACACACACTCACACTCA